GGTGGCGGCGGTGAAGGAGAATGGAGAGGCAAAAGGAGGTGGGGAAGACCTGTGGTAGCGGATCAAGAAGGTGGAGAACGAAGCAACAGCGGCTGAAAGAACAAGAGAAGGAGGAGGAGGAGGTGGAGGTAAACCGAGGAGGGAAGAGGACAAAAACGAGGCATTAGCGCTACCCGTGCTACCGTGTGTTCCATGGTCTGGCTGACCGCCCGCTGATGCCCATTTCTACTTACCAAATTAGCATTATTACCCGGCACGGACGCAAAAATGCAATCAATGTGTATATCCGTCGGTACGTATGTAGAATCGAAAAAAGAAGGTGCCGACCCCCGTCGGACGTCGATGTACCCGCCGCGAACCAGTGTTAACGACCCTGATCCTCACCGTCCCCGAAGACGTACGAGTGTACCTGCGCTCGGGCATCGGTTAGCACCTTCGATGCTTTATACGCGCCACGATTCCCAAAACTTCTTTTTCCCAGGTTTGCTGATTGAACGGCCTGAAAAACAGGATTACCTTAAGATTGGCCATGTCTCGTGTAGAGTACCAGCCACGCACCAAATAAATCTCGAAAACTCGATCGTTATGAAGGGGCGGGAACGTTTTACGTATTACGACTACGTAAGTAAGAGAGAAAAAGATAGAAGGGAAACTTGAGTGATTCTACGCGAAGACTACAGATGAAAAAGACGATAAGACACATTTTCTGTTTTTCACGGGCAAGCAGTTCTTGCGGCAAAATTTTGGTTTACTGCCTATTTACAAGATTCTCTTTATATTACATTTTGAAGCTAAATAAGTTTGTACATCGCGAAAAGATGATGTAAACAATAAAGGATTCTAAGGAGAATTTACAAAAAAAAGTATTTCTGATCATCATTTCTCTATACGTTTCAATTCATACAGTTGGTCTTCTAAAAGACTCGGTGAGGAAAGAGAAACGCTTTGCTCGCTTGAGGGATGAACTGACGAGCAGTGTTTAAAAAACGCGATTAGGCGTGATTTATAACGGTTGTTGATGCCCAACGAAATTTTAAAGACCTTTTCCATGAGATACGTTTTCGAAAAATTATGCAGCGCCACTTCAAAGAAATCGACGTACATCGGCTACGCGGCTGAGTTTTCGAGCTAGGTACCTCATCCGCTCGTTTAATATGCATACTACTCGAATTTTATGTGTATCAGTCAAGTCTCGCTTTTACATAAATATTTACATCAGGACACACCTCGTCGATTTTAATGACCTTGACATATGTTGCCATTCGCCGCCGTACGGTCTTAGTTTCCGAGAAATTCATATAAGCCTTCAATTAGATTCAGTTTCCATTACATTTTATTCTGGCATCTCAGGTGGCCACATTTTTATACAGCCCAACCTAAATTCAATTGATCGATGTTAATCGTCTTTAATATAAATAAAAAAGATAAATAAATAGTTTGTAGCTTGGGTTAGATCGATATCGCTAGCATGACTCAATTTTTATTTCATGCAATCTAGTAAACGTATCGTAAATTTGATTACTATTTTATTTATTATTATTTCTGTATTTCTTAGAATTTTGTTCAGTTCTTTGGCGTTCCTAACTATCTAAACTTTGATGAAAGTCTGGTTCGAACAAACGCTAATGTTCTTTTGACTGCATAATTAAATCTTAAACTATTCAAAAAAAGTATTAAATTCGAAACTTAATTCTAACCTATTCATACGTTATCTAATTCTTTTTCTCGTTGGTCCAACTTTAAGGATAAATACACTGAAAAAGTATAGGAAGTTAACCGATACTCACACAAAAGTCATCATAATTCCAAATTATTAAACCAGGTATCGATACGACAAACCAAAACGCGTGATTAAACGATACTTCGATACCGCGATCGAAGTTAAGAGGCATAATCCGGTGAATTCTCACGCCCCTCTAATTTGTCGTGTGTATAACCTCTGAAACGCCTAGTTTGGCTTCCAAATCGAGCATCGCGCCCACCTCGCCACGTTTTTACGAGAGAACTTTAAAATTTATCATGCAATTCACCTTCCATCTACGCTCGAGAAACGTACGTTCACGTGGAGCGTAATCACTTTAATCTTCCGCTAATGAGAGTACCCGCGACCCATAAGCAACGAGATTCCATAATTTTTCAACGACGCCTGGCGCTCCTCTGTCGGTCGAGCAAACAACACGAACTCATAAAATGGCGTTCTCGCGCGAGAAGAAGTTCGATTCGGTTCTTCTAGATGCACGCACGGCACGCACACGCACACATGAGCACATGTACGCGTGTCGCGCCACGTGTATGCATGTATGACATGAGCAGCGGAGAAGGCTCGACTTTGGAAGCCTCAGGGCATGTAGACGTATAGGCTCCCCGTGTTACGCATCGTGCCGCACACGGGGCATACATCACTCCACGTGTGAACCCTCACCACCACTAGCAACATCAGCGCCGGCGACCTCACCTTTTAGATAGCTGTTCGTTCCGTGTTGCTGCTGCCGTTGGTTTCTCGGTGTGCCTGCACCGCGGTGTGTTGGTAATTATTATTACGAGGGATAAGAAGAACGAGCCGGGAGAGAGAAACAGCAGGGATCGGTGCGTGGATCTCCTTTCGGTGTTCCCCTGTAATCAGACAGCCGGACCTGACTGCTAGGTAGGAGGGGCAAGGTGAAACACAGAGAAAGAGAAACTTACGGAAGACGTATTAGTGTCGTTTCTGATTTAAGCTGCTGCACAGACCGACTTAATTGTTTCTAACTGATCTTTTCCCCACAAGGGAAACTACTGACAATTTGTCGTTAGGTTAAGGTTAGGTGGATGTTTCTGTACGATCGGCAATGTCGGGTCGACGAACTTTTGCGTATAATTGACGTTTGAAGCGCCGCCTGCTCGGTGGACGAACAAACCAATGACCGACGAAAAGCATAGTCCTTTAAAATTTAAAACATCGATCAGTAAGTCGAAATTGGAAGGGAAAGTTGGTTTCATAAATTAGAAGATAATCATAATAACGTAGCGATGATTTATAAGCGAAGTAGCAACTTTTTATTCGTCGGATAATTGAAACTCGGCAACGCCGGCCGACAAGTCGCGTATGCGTGAAATAAGAAAGCCGCAGCGCCGCGCGCAGGAAATGTACACTCTCGGTTCGGTGCGGGTTAACATCGAATTATCGTTCCGGCAATTATCGTTAGCTGGGTGTAATTAAATTATTTCTCGAAGCCTGCGAGGAATTTAACCCGTTTTACCGCTTTTAGAATATCGCCCGATAGCACGATTGTACACACACAAACCACGGGTTTCAGCTACGTAATTACAGGTACGATAATTCATCGACGCGCGCACACGCATGCGACCTGTTCATCCGCGTCCGTGTCTACGTACGAGTTTCGTTAATAACGGTTTGCACCTCTGCCGAGGCTAATTAACGTTTCCCACTCCCTGTACCGCTAATTACGCGTCCTTAAAAAAATGTCCTTATTATCTTAAACACCGGCTTTCGGTAAAATCTGGATTTGTCGATCGACGAGAACGGCGCAATAAAACCACACAGAGACCGATCGCCTGCGTTTTCTCTTCGAGCCAAACGATAAATTTTCAACGTAGAACGAGAACTTCGGAAACACGGCTGGGGGGCACGTTTCGCGCTGCTTTGTCCTTTCGACTCCTCTCAGCCTCCCTCAACCACTTTCCTTTCTATTTCTCTTCTCTTTCCAACTTACTGGATCTCTCTGTGCGTCCATCCTTCTCTCGTTTCGGCCTCTTTCTAACCTCCTTCCCTGCAAATTTACAATGCCCTCGCTTGTAATAAGCGGTTGCGCGCTTCGTTCACGATTATGAGCTCACTTCAGGTACCGTGAGGACTTATCGAGTTAAGGCCCTTCCAACCATGGAACACCAAACAACGTCTTCTCTCCCTCGAACGATACCCCCTCGGTGGAAAACGAATTTTCACTTACACTTACACTGGCGATTCACGATTCACGCGTAAAGTGTGTAAAATAATATAGAACGTTTTCTTGAAGATTTGAAGGCCCCTTCACGATGAAAGGAAAATAATATAGTAAAAGGTTAATGCGTTTCGTACTGAGAGAAAGGTAAGCAATTTAGCACTTTACATTTAAGGAAAGAGGTTATATTAGAATATTTAATCACGTAGTCTTAGAGATATATAATATATAATCTTAGAAAATATATAAATGTGTGCGAATATTTAATTTTATGAAGAAAGGAAATGAAAATTGATTCGTCCGACTTCTTTATCATGCAATTGTTTTTCGCTTTTTAGATTCATAAAGTTTCTCATTGAAAGAGAAGGAGAGACAAATAAATCAAGTTGACGATTTTGCAAAGAAACCACTTTTTTCTAGAGAGACAGATTTATGGCAATGTAAAAAAGATGGCATTCTAATTATGTAAAATGAGGTACGTTGATACATTAAGCGGTAAGTTGCAATTAAAAGTTTTAAGTAAAAATAATTGCACGAAAATAATAAATAATGATACCTTGTACCTTTTAAGTATAATTAATTATAAGAATACTCTCTTGCATTATTGCAAATAAATTTCACGTGACATTAATTTTTGCCATTAATATGCAAAGCTATCTAATTTCGAACATATATATTGCTAAATATAAATAACAATAAAAAGTGATAATTTGTATCAATTATAGAAATAACAGATATGATTATATTATATTATAGGGTAAATATTACCTACGTGAAAATTAGTGTGTCTTACATTGTTGTAAAATGAATTATTTTATACATGTAAGCTATTAGTATTCTTACCTTGACATTTTCAACTGGTGCTTTCAGCAGTTACCCCGTTCGCATATACGTTTTAAATCACTTTCTCATGAATAAAGGATTTTAGTTTAATCGTTTCTGATTTATAGTTAACTTAATGTCGTCCAACCGCGTTCACTTAAGAAAATTATAGAATACTTCAATAACATTGTTTAAATAATTTTGAAATTTCGAATTTATAAATAAAAGGAAAAGATCAAGGTTTCATATACTTAAAAATAACTTACGAAGTTTTATTCGCATATGCTATAGAACGGTACTAAAAATTAAAACCAGAAAAGTATGATGCAATATTTGATAAAGAACTAATTGCCGTTTCAGATTGCGGTAGCGAAAGTTATGTAAATTTCCGTACAAACGCGTGACATTTGGAACATTTACGGAAACTTGTCTGCGAGGAACTTAATCTAGTCAGCTGTGAGCTGCTAATTATTAGCTATCGTGTCGATATCCATACACAGGCTATTAATCTTTCTTAATTACTCGACGAGAGATAAATTTCAGTGATATCTTAATACTAGATCAGTATTTAAAAATGTTCACTTTTTCTAAACGACAAAACTCTCCATTTCCGCCTAAAAATACCTTTTTTTTCTTTAAAATTTAATGCTGTAAATATTATAAACAGATGGTTAATAGAGAAAAATATCCATTTCTAATCATTTTTTTAGAATATAGGGAATTTTTTGGTAATATTACAGAATCTGTTCTTTCTTTTTACTCATCAAATATAAGTGAGTAGCACGATCACTGTCGTGTACATCGTCTTCGTTGGGTAAAAAAAAAATAGAATACGATATCGTTACACTAATGTCCAGCTCCTTAAGTACCTGACGTATGTGAAACTTCTGAATAGCCGGAGGGAAGATTAGGGATTCGAATCGGTGGAATGTACCACGGGACGGTGGCACGGCGTGCTTTGTAAGGGAGACACGTGCACCACATGTTTAAGCTTTAAGTGACGGTCACAGTCCAAACATGTCGCGGACAAGTTAGAGCTCACACAACTCACCGCGGCAGCATCCTTCTTTAACCTTCCGCGATTCAACGCGCTTCCGAATCTAATAAACCACTTGAAAAAAAGATCGTAAAATTAAGTACAGTATTGTACACGAGACGAATAGTTTTATGAGAATGTTGCGATTTCCTATACAACTCGAGAACTTTCATTATCTTACATTTTTTGCTCACATAATGATATCGTATTGTCAGTTGTTTAAGAGATTAAGATTATTTCGTAAATAAGATAATACCCTCAAGTATCCGTACTAAATATATCGCACGTGAAGTTTATCACAATACATCAGCTTTATTAAAATTTTTAATTGGATTAATGGATTATTAATTTCGAACTAGTAGTCTTGTATCTTTTTCTTGAGCTTTGAATTTATATTTTATATAACTAATGGTTTACAGATCATTTAAACAAGTATATGTATATCTTTAAAATTATATTTGACACATACAGTCTGTCATTTTACTTTCACTTCGATTTTTCTTATCTTATGTATTTAAAATGCATTAATATTTAATCTCAGTATTTTTATTACATTTAGTAATAAACCATAAAAATCATGGTCATCATAGGAATGATGCAAAAAAGGCTAATAGTGCAAAGGATAAAGGTGCAAAAAAGGAAAATATTTCATATAAAAAATACATATATATCGTATGAAACACATACACATCCTTTTGCGTGATGTAATCGCAATACGAAAAAAGAAATGATAACCCCAAGAGAGGGTGTCACAGTGTCAGCTACGGTGAAAAATTTGCCAATTAAAAAAATCTCATTTCTCCCAGTAACGAGGGGCGGCGTGCAATTAATGTCAGCGGCGAAAATGATTTATGGGGTGAGGTGGGAGAGATGCAGGTTGTAGGCGAGAGGCTAGCTTATCATAAATTAATGAATTATCAGTACTCGATATGGGGAGCACAAGGGAGGAAGAAACGTTCGCGCGCGCGCGCGTAGTACGTCAATATGGTATTTGAAATATTCATCGATGCACTCCGGTGTACAAGAAATTTTCTCTAAGGCGTATTTATATCACGTAAAACTTTTATGTATGACGGTAAAATTCTTTGGGGTGACAACACCGATGAAAAACATAGCGTCAAGACGTGTGCTTACAGTAGTTATAAATGGGAGTTGTTGAGAAACGCCATCAACGTCATCGTCTATAGTACTCCTTAAAAATTGATAAATAATTCAATTTTATGTAACCATAGATCGTGCAACTTCTAATATTTTTAATTAATTGGTAAAATGACAAGAATATCAATTATAAAATGACTAAAGTGATATTAGAATACCAGTGAAATACATATGTATGTATATGTGTATGTTTATGACTCACAATACGAACTGGTATGTTTATGTCCACTGTCAAGAACTACGTCGAAGTTCCGCGATTCTCCTCGACGCGTTCTTTAACCTCTATTCATTTCACTGTCTTTTTCTCGTATACGTCCTTTTCTTCCTCGCCTTCACGCTTGCATACTTTCTTGTTCTCAATCACTATTCTTTCGCTACCTTTGTCTCATACTTCAACAAAGAGATCGTGCATTCTCTTCTCCACTTAGAATCTATTAAGTCTATTAAGAAGCGCATTGAAATGAGATTCAAATCAAGGTTAGGTGTGAATTAAACCGTGCGACATAAAGGAGTGGAATTTAATTGCGAAGACATTGTGCAGTCGTCAATGTTCTCGTCACCTAAATTTTTTAAATCAGTGTGCTTATCAGTATTTTTTAATAAGTATCATTTGCTATTGTTGGTACTATATTATGCTATAGCTATACTTCAGTCTGTATTGTACCATCTAAATAAAGAAAGCATATATAATCGTTTAAATAGTAAGTAATTGTCGTTAATAACGGTATAAAAATATAAAATTTTCCAAGGATTTTCAAAAATCTATTATAACGAAGATTAGTTATGAACAATAGTCTCGTAACAGTCGTATAATTGTCGCAATGGTTTATTTCCGCAGATTTATCGACGTATTATCAAGCACTATTCGTGAAACTCAAGTCTCCTTAACGTATTATTTCAATCGAGAATTGTTATTTTACTTAGGAAATTATTGAAATCGTTTTGGCTTTATATTATATAAATGAAAGATACACGCGTCGAATATCGTATTTGCCTGGAAAATCGTCGATGGTTTAAACGTCATTCCGTGTTCCTACATCGTCGACTGTAGCTGCTTACGGGAAACGTAATTCGCTAATCAACCTGTAGTCGCCGCCACCATCGCCAACATGGCCACGTGCTAGACGTGTTTACGTGAACTGCGTCATCTTTCGTATTTTTCTTGTTCATATACCAAAGTGTTAGCTGTGAGATTACAGTGTTGGGTATCGGGTATGGTCATATGATGCGCGTGTGGTGACTAGCAGTCATTAACGTGCTCCTCGTGGGCATGGCGGGTGTGGACGTGCCTGTACCACGGTGCACCTGCAACGTCAAGGATTTGACTACCTGTTCCGCTGTCAATCAGGATTCACCCACGAGTAGAGCCGTAAGAAGTTATAGACCACATGGGAGCCTCGCCAGGTTACTTTATGATAAGCAGAAGGCGGATGAACAGCTCGAAGCGTACGACAAAACCCAGGTAAATATTAACGTAAATAGGTTACATTTCCTATTCAATCCCCTGCATACATATCTGTAGCCAACCCGCGCGTACTCCGTTCTTCGTATCGCCGCCTGAGGTCACGTCAGTGGCCTCAGGACCGTAGACACGTTATAGCGCTTCCAGCTAAAATGACACAACTACATTACATCTTTATTTAACCGATTTTCTAAACATTACTACGATTGTTATATTAATTTTACAATGAATTCATTTTCAATATATATAGATGTATATATATATATATGTATTTCAACGTTGTAAGGGAAATTCGTGTTATCGCTTCACGTAACGAATTTGGCCGTTCCAAATTCGATACAGGTTTGATCGTGCTATATTGAAAAGTAAGATTTGTTTAGTGGGTCAGATAAGATAGCAAAATTTGGAATGCAACTGATTCGCGCGTTTATTTTCGTATTATTTGATGGATAACTAGAGATATGTTCGGTGTCGACCTTAGTCGCGTTTAATTAAAATAACGTCGAGGAGAAATTTCTTTTTCCGTGAATGAAGGATCTCTTGAATCTGGTCTTAGTAAATTCCGAGTGGCGCACGGGCCAGCAAGGTAATTGGGTTGTCGGGGGAGGAAGTAGCCACTAAGGCGAAAGCAAGGGGGAGGGAGCAAGGAGAGCAGTAATAATTAGTACAATTACCGCACAAGGCCAACCACTGACTGCCCTCTCATTCCGCGAACGACGCTACTCAAGAGTCAAGAGCATGCTCAGTAATTACAGGATAATTACGTTCTCGATATTCCTGAAACATCTTCAAACGCCAGTCCCGAACACCGTCCAGAGCGTCTTGCCTCGCTCTATTTACAATTATATCTTTATGGTTGCCTTCAATTCAACTCCTCGAAGTCACGAGCGATCATGTCGAGACCGTTGATCGCGTTGAATCTATGAAAACGATCACAAGACAAAAGTCTGCCAACTTGGAAGCTACTAACAGCGCTAGTTGCTAGTTACACAACTTCAAACGTTCAATCTATTAATACCGACAGCAGCGTGCGATGGTTCGCGTTTCGATTCGTCGTTACTCATGCTACGCGATTACAAGGAACGTTGAAAATAACGGTGTAGTTCGGAAGGAACAGATTTTTAATTTTACCATAAAGTAAGATTAAAACGTAAAAATCGCTTTTGCGAGAAAAATTGAATTTGGAAATGCAAGAAACTAAGACGACGAAAGCATAAAATTCCTATGACCGATAGCGGTTGCTTTTGAAATATTTTGAAATTAGCAGTTACCTGTAATGTTTAACCTTCTGTTAGGTAATTTAACGAGACTGTGATAAACAATACTTATTTATAACAGATGTATACTCCGTATTATCGTCGGTTCAATGATTGCATTTCTTATAGGAAAGGTATTCAATTTTTTGTAAAGTCGGTTAAATTTAAACGACGAGGTGTTGTTCAATTAATCGTTAAAATTCTTCAAAATTTGTGAACAGACACATATTTTATATAATCTATGCCTGGAAGTAGAACGCAGAACTTAAATACACGTTCAATTCTTCCTACAAAATTGAGCAGATTTTTCCTTAGTATCGTCCCAAACGAATTTACAAATTTCACAGGCAAGCAACGTCTCGAAGAGTTTTCGCCTACCATTCTTCGCTTTGAACTTATTCTCAGCTTCGAACATGCCTTCGCACAACGATCTCGAACGCGTCCTTTACATCTATATCGTTTCACACGCGGCCAGAAGGAAAACGAGAAAAAAGGAAACACACCTCTTTACGTTTTCCATTACGTAGCTAGCATAGGTTGGAAATCCGCAGAAAGTCGACTGGCGCGTCCGATCGCGTATTTATTCATCTAGCGGAAGAAAGAAGCTTTTATCGGTGTTTGCGAGAACCTTTCGCGTGCGACAGAGAGCAAATCGATTCGGAGGGCCGCTCGCTCGAGCAGGTGCTCGCAGGAAAAGGGAAGAATCCCATTCGGTCGCGTGAAACGAGAAATTTGAAATTCGTGCGGAGGGACGCCCCCGCGAGATTTGCCTCAACCCCCTGCCGACCGAAATCGAGGCGAGACGTCGCTTCACCTTCTCTCTCTCTCTCTCTCTTTCTCTCTCTCCCGACCCTTTCCTCTCTCTTTGCGTAGCACTAGGTAGTTCTCTGTGCCTGCCATCGCCTAATATCCCTGAGCAGTCTGAAAACTTTACTCTCAGACCGAGTGGCGTGGATGCGTCGACCCGGTGGTGTTTTAAGGTTTTTAAAAGACTGGCGGCGCCGTTCGTTTCCTTGCGGATCCTCCTCTAAGGAAAGAGATGGAAAAATAGAGAGAAAGAGGGTCGCGTGGAACGCTGCTTTGAAATATTAAGTAACTGATGGATGAGACTCCTGAGGGGAAGAAAGAGAAAACTCCTGCAACCGAGACAACTACCACCGAAAGACGTTTCCGTACACTTTTACACCCCGTAGCCTAAACAACGCGTCCCATTTCTTAGGAATTTTAACTCGTCCTCGGTGCTGTCGCCAACCAGTTCACGGCAGCTTGCGAAACACGCGTATCTCGAGCTCGCTCGTAATAATAACAGCAACGCTCGTGATAATAATGTTTATTACCTTCGTGAAGTGTGGCAAAGAGAAGTCCTGATTGCGAGCAACTTCGGCGAGGCTAATGACGATTCGCTTTGACCATGTTAAATAGAATTTCTCCGTTTGCTTGATGAGGCCCAACTGGTAACTACGAGACGCGATTTTAAGTTTAACCCCTTCACGTTTGCGGTGCGTCGCGACGTCGTCGCGAATGTAAGTAGATCATTTGGTGTATTATGGATGAAATATTTAACGAATTACACGAATGAAATTTTCATGGCCAAGTATGTCGTTCGTGGCCCAGGAGACTTTACAGTAGCTACTGTACAAGTATACGTATCTACTTATGCGGTATTATAGTTGGGTGAACGTGAATTAGCAATCAAGGAATCTCGACAGATATTTCGTAATAATTTATATCGGAATTATGAATATGGATTTTGAAATTATGAAAAATTTTGGATCAGCGAAAGAGGTTGCGCTTACGCAACATAAGATGATACATCTGTTGCAAGAATGTAAATATTATGTACGATCTGAGAGGAAGATGTTATTTTTGAACGCAAAACACGAAGAGTATATTTTCCAAAGACTGTCTTTTTTTTCTTAAGCTCCGTGTTATAATGATATGTTTTGAAGTAGATGCTAATTTAAACGGAATTGTGTTATGGCGAGTTAAATTTAACTATGACATGTACCATAATGGTCAAGTATCCGAACAACGATTGCTATTTACGTCCTTCGCGTTATCAGTGAAACGTTACTTCACGAATATTAATTGCAAATGAATTTCAAATGATTTTTTAGAACGTAATATCGTATACGATACTACCGTAATTTAAAAAAGATACTCTTCGGGAATATTTGTCCTTCGTATTATTCGCGATCGTTCGTCGCGTGCTACATTAAGAATTCTAACAGTAACTCGTCTCTTACGTCAAACTGTAATAATATTTTCTTGTCGTGACACGCAACGTAATAGAGTTTAAAGGCTAGATATCTCGGACAATTTTTAATACAAGAAGACGCTAGCGAAGAGTAATATTCGACTTCCAAGTGGATCGAAACATACGTGCCTATTACATATAACGTATATATAACAAAGTCTAAAAGTTGAATAAAATCGTTTATTTAAGTTAATTAACCACCAACGAATACTACATCGTATCGTAGCCCGTGTTGCAACAGTTCGTCTCGATGTTATCTCTGACGAAATCGGACACCGTACAACAGCCGAAAAGATCAAAACAAACACGAATGACGATTTACAAAACAAGTGGACGGTCGAGCGATTCGTCATCTCCGTCCAAATAGCATAAAAAACCGCAAAGGACAAAAATAAATATACATAATGTATACGCGAGCGCGTATTCATAGCTTCGAAGCGTTCTTCGAGATAAATCTCACATACGATAAATACACAGACCGGGCATATACGTACACACGTACATACTTAGCAGCGGAGAATAGCACGTGACACGCATGGCTCAGACTAAATAACGACAATGTAAATAATATCGAGTCGCGATAGTTGTTACGCGACGCAGTAGCAGAGCGCGGTGCAACGAACGAATCTAGAGAGGAACGAAGACGAGTATACCGTGCGTTATCGTTCGCGTGAGATGGTATTGTTTCGAGAAAAGAACGACCAACGGTGAATACGACTATCGTTCATGAACATAAAGCGAGATCTAGGATCTTTCGCGGCACTTTCACGGTGAAGAATCGCGAAAGATGTTGTCAGGACCGGCGATAAATCCGTATGGTCGGTGGATGTTCGTTTATCAAGTCGTATAATCGCGGGCGTGCGTCGTGTGCGCGAGCATGCGTGCGCAGTGGATCCACCAGCCGAAAAACTGATTTCTGCAGCGTAGATCGACGCTCGATCGACCGAACAAGTCGTATTTATGTCTTTATTCGTACGCAGGATACCGGTTTCCACCGTGAACGCCGATCCATTCGGCAGAATTCTTGTTCGCCGTACACGATACGCTTTGTCGCCGAACTTCTTGCGCACGAGACGCGAGTTGCCGATGCGAGGGGGCTGGCGGTGCCGCCGACCGATTTGAAAGTCGCGGGGCAAAAAAAGGCACGGTTCCAAGACGAGACTCGGTGAAACGAAGGATTTCATTAGGCCCGTCCCTCCCGGCTCTTTTGGTATTTCGCATTTTTGCTGATTTCTTCCGCGCCGGCTTTTCGTCGAGCATAGACCGTGAAAAAGCAACGAGCGATAAGCCACGTTAGCTTGGCATACTTTTCTTTTTTCCTTCTTACTAGAGATTTCTTTCGCATTTGCTACGCTTCGTATCAACGTCGCTGAACCTTTGGCTTTGACTCGAATCGCTGATTTTTGGGAATTAACGACTCGACAAGGTTCGACTCGCGAGCTCCAGCTACGCGTCGATGTTAAGTTAATAAAACGATTGTATAAATTATTCGATGGCGAATGTACCTTTCCGTCAAGCTGTTTCGCGTTCTTTTTTTTTTTTTATCTAAACATCGTTATTAGAAGATTACAGAAGATTAGAAGATGCTGTTCGATCGCTAAGAATCGTTAACGTATCGTATCGTGCCAATAAAAAGTTTCCGTTTGTAACTCTACGCACGTACGATAACTATCAGGCCACTCGTTATCGTGTCTCGTTGGTGCCATTGCGAACAGGAATCAATTAGCAAAAAATATCATGTAAACCGGATCGGATCCTGTGATTCGGGATCTACCAACAGAGGCCCGCTTGTACCGCCTTCATCCTGGTCGATTCAAGTTTTATTAACACTTCGTAAGGTGTATCATTTCAACCACTTATGTCTCTGAAATTGTCGACCAGACACTTTACGTTTCACACGCAATAACAACAAGTTGCTATTACCTCGTAAAAGTAGATCAAAATCGACGTGATAGGTATATTTCGGATTCTGCACGAGTATGTCGAATGTGTCAACGTAAGTGACGTTTAACTCGGTATTCGATCCGGTAATTTCGTAAAGTAAACGATAGATTCCGAGGAATTTTTTCCGATTTTCCAGGGTCGACTTCGACGAATGCCTTTGACGACAAAAAGAATTGCACGCAACTCGTCTTTATCTAAACGTAATTTAATATATTAAATTTAATCGTAGGTAGATAAGAAATATCAAGCGAAACTCGGAATATATCTTTATAATCCATAAATTAATAATGATCAGAATTTTATTTGCTCGTGAAAAAGCAACGTTACGATCGACTGTCGTTTTCTTCTTTTCTTTTAATTCGAAATTTGAAAATCACCGACAACTGGAAACCTCGATCGACGGTATCGAAACGAATAAACGAATGAAACGAAGTTTGAAGGATATGGACAGAAGGATGCGTAACTTCCAGGTAACTTGACGTAGTAAAAGATCAAACAACCGTAACTGATATCTGTTTTACTGTAAAAATAGAAAGACACGGGTATCTACTCGAGCACTCGTTACCTTTAAGGAGAATTCGTTATTAACTTCGGTACTCGCTTATCTTTTTACTACCAGGAAAGTGTAATCCTCTCGATCACGGATAAAAGAAAAAATTCGATCTTTGCAACCTTTCGACACGCTAAAATCTGATTAGTCGCGATAATCGTCTCGGTATCCAGAGAAACAGCGTTTCGTTCTCAGGTTCGCATCTTTGAAACTATTAAACAACCACATGCGCGGTTCTACGTGCAGCGATAGAGATTCCGCTCTAGCCAAGCCCGCGGGACCAAGATCAAGATCGAAAAGCAACATTTCGGATCCTCCTCTCGTTAGCGTGGCAGCTTCGACCGATAAACGTAGAGAAGATTCATCGCTACGAAGGCTCAGAGTGAAATAGTTGGTAATACGAAATAGTTGGTAAAACGAGATTGCCGCGCGCAAGGTGTTATCCTTCGCGACAAGCTAAATTAGCGAGTGTACGGAAGATTTTCGCGCGCACCGTATACTTATCGTGGCTTCGACAAAAGCATCGCGATATCGTTCCTCTCGAAGAACAAAGAAGTAAAGGAAACGAAAAGCAAGGGGCAGGGGGGGAAAAAAGTTAAAAACCAAGAGAAAAAGAAGAACGGGTAAAATAAATATCAACGGCTTAGGAACGGCTCGTGGATATCGCGGAGAAAAGGAAGAGATATTATGGATGTAGGAGAGAATACGATAGTGCTTTCCGTACGTGAACACGGACCTATCGATGAACCGATGCAAGGGAAGAAGAAGAAGGCTGTCATAAAAGCCGTGGAAAACGTTGGAAAGCCTGTTGAAAAAAGGCCGAGAAAGGGGACGATGAGACGGTCGAGCCGCACACATCGTAATTTGCAAGTTATTTTACGCGGCTATACGGATCGGATAACGAAGCCGCGGGACGGACACAGATCGTTATCGGCTCGTTCTCGAAATATTCCTCTGGGGCACCACCGGTAAGTCGAGGAACGTACAGAGAGTAGAACGTACGTAACCAGAGAGTGCTCTTCCAGCCGTTTCACGCATGATCGATCGCGTCTCGCGCCAACCAAAGGCACTCCAAACGATTATATCGGTTCCATCCGTGTGGGTATACGTACTTGCTTATACAGGGTGTTTCAGAAAGTTATGCCAAACTTGGAAAGTACGTACACGGCGCTCGTGAAACGAAGCGAACGAGCGTTCGGACGTTTGGGCCAAATATCATCGGTCTTGGTGTCGCGAGACTTTCTCATCGGTGAGATTATTATCTGCCGTATTATGTCATACGTTTGAAATTTCATTAGCGGTATAAAGAGACGCGACTGTCGCGATCGTATCGGTCAAATTTCAAATCTGAAAATGTACGTCGTACGTAGTACCTATCTATAGGAAACGTTTGCTTGGTACGTACAAGACATATATATAGTAAAAAATTAGCTGTCTTAAACGTATAAATTAAAATTCCTTTTATGGAGAGTCTTTGATCGATTCGACGAATACCACGTGCTTCTAAAGTTTGGCATCAACTTTCTGGAACATCCTATACGTAGCTACGTATACGTCTGCACGATGCGCTGTCTGATAACGATCCGATTCATTTTGCATCATCGCGGATAGCGCTTACAAATAATTTCGAATCGACCATGTTCGAGAACGATCGTTCGCGAAATAGTTATAGCTGTTTCCTGAGCGAGAAGACTATGTCCAAGAAGATAGTTGATTGCGATTGGTTTAGCTACCAGTTCGGTCGTGGCTTCGGCGCTGGCTTAAAACGTTCCAAGATACGTACCTATTTATCCGAGAGTATTAGAAATTTATTTAGTCGAACTAGACGTCGAGGAATAGATATTATTATTTAGTTTATACTAGATTTTATTTGTAGTTGTAAATGTCCATTATATGATTATACATCTATTTTATGATTATACAGTTGTATAATTAATTTATATATATTTCATAGAAATATATATACAGGGTGGTTGGTAACTGGTGGTACAAGCGGAAAGGGGGTGATTCTACGCGAAAAAACAAGTCGAAAAT